GGGGGGGGGCCCTGCCTCCCTGAGCCATTTCCACCTCTGTGGTTACGCAGAAAGTGCAAGTCTTCTACAGGATCCCTTTTGGAGAAGAGACATTTGATTCGAGAAGATGTAAAGAGACTAGAAAACACAAGATAGAAAAAAGAAACCCGTCAGGCTGAAGACTGCTTCAGATCCAGTGCTGTCAGGTGGGCGACGCTGACCCACGTAAAGCCCTAAAGCCGAGTCCTGGACTGCAGGCTTCCCAACGCCCTGTGAGCCAACGCAATGACTCGCGCCTTCATCACAGAGCAGCCAACAGGCTCGGAGAGGAGTGGAACTGGCCAAGGTCACACAGCTAGTATGTGGGAGAGTTAGGATTTGAACTGAAGACTATTGGAAGGAAAACTTGAATTCTCAGTCACCACGTCCTAACACCTAACAGCGTTTCCCCACTCTCGGCAGGGCTGGAGGCAAAAGCTGGTAGTTCAGTGTCAGACACGTTTCCCAGAAAAAGTCACCGGTAACGTCTCGAGATAGAAGGAGACGGCACACACACCTCCCTGTGGCCCATGGACTGGAGTCACTGAGGCTCAGCCCCTGGTCAGCCTGAGCTCCAGTCTGGGCAGGAGTGGGCTGGGGCAGGGCTCCGGGCAGATAGCGGATTCTCACGCTCCTCCCCCGACACAAGCCCACGTCTAAGAAAGTGACCTAAGAGCTGTGGTCATCCCACAAAGGATCCTAGTTCTCAAGTTACGCATCTCACACCTCACTTGTTTTCAAGGGATAAAAGGGTAACTTTGGAAACCAAACTTATTTTCATATTCGGAATAATTTCTGCAAAAGCAAATGTCTGGGGAACATGAGGCAGCTTCGACCTTCCCACTTGTGCCACATACTGTTGGGAGGAGGGAGGCATTTCGGGGACCTGGATGGTTAAGGGACATGTTCTTTCCCATCTCTGGTTTGTGGCTTGTCTGCTTGCTGCTAACCGGTGGGGCAAAACACTCACTGAAATTGCATCTGCTTCTCTTTCGTGGTGACCGTGACAATGCCAGACACCGCGTGGCTGTGCCCAGAGCTTCCGCTCTCAGCCACGCTGGCACGTGGCACGAACAAGTGGGAGGAAAACAGACCACAGCACACACTGGCAGACACCTGCCTGTGCCAGGGAAGGCTGGCTTTGACCTGCTCTGAGAGAGAGAAAGTGCCTTTATTCTATTTTATCGGGACAAGCTGGCCACACTACACAGGCCACTCGGGTGTGGAGCAGTCGGCTTAGTGAGGCATGAGTGGAGTCATCACTCCAGAGACAACCGGGGGGCCAGTGTCTTTTTCAGGCTCCGGCAGTGGCCCATTTCCTCAAGCACGCTCTGTCTTCTAGGCATTCGTGTGCTGAGTCTGAGGACTTGCTCAGAGTCACCTACTGAGTGAGGGGGTTTAGATCTCCTGACACCCGCACTCTCGTGACTGGCCTGGCTGGTGCAGTGGGAATAAGCCCAGCTGCTCTGGGGAGGCAGCCGACTCTGATCAATGACCCAGGATAAAGCAGACAGAACCTGAAAGCCGTGAAGTCTCAGGGCCAATGACCCACACTTCGGCCATAGAGACGGACCCCCAGCAGCCTCAGCTTAGGCTCTGACCTGGAACCAGATGGACGCTTAGAGCAAACGGGGCAGGAAGGGCGATCCACCGCTCATCTCGCCCGGGCCCAAGTCAACTCGTTCCCGGGAACCGGGAGCCCACAGGGCTTCCTTCCCCATGGACTTCTTCACAGTGACAGCTGCCCTGTGTGTCCAGGACTCAGCCCACTTCCCCACTGCCTCCTGAAAGTCTGCAATGTTTTCAAAACAGCAGGCGAAGACCTTCAAGGCAGCTCACCTATGGAATATCCAGGTGCTGCACTCGTCGGCCTTGGTGACGTAGTTCTCAGGCAGGAGTCCGGAGCAGCCGCTGGTCAAGGACGTGCCGTAGACCCACCCCTCACTGGTGCTGGTCTGCTCCACGGGGGACGTGAAGATGAAGTCCCCGGGGACCAGCTCCAGCTCATCTTCGTTCTGCGGGCTGTAGGGGTAGATCACTTGCAGTGTCTGAAAGAGAGGGTAAGTGAGGCCTCACCCGAGGGCCTCCGGGGCAGGCCTACGTCCTGCTGTCACCTGCAGGGGGCTCAGGCTGATGCAAGGACTTCAGAGGGGGAGCTTCATCAGGAGCAGTAACAAATGAGCTTTAACAAGTAAGAGACAAAAGAGGCCGAGTTATTTTTAGAAAATAATTCATTTGATCGCTGCTGCCTCTTCCCCTTGGTGCCAGCCGAGCACAATGTGGGTCAGGCAGAAAAGCAGTCACCCTCGGAGCCCACTGGCGACAGTGCTGATGCGAAGGTGTCCTTGGAAGATCCCATCGCTGCCTCCGTCTCAGAAGGGTGGCCTCTCCCCGTCCTTGCGCACGCAGCGCTCACCGCGCTCTCGGAAAGAAGGGGTCCGATCAGCCACACCTCTTGTTACCTTCAGGGTTCCTTCTAAGTGATTCCAGATGTCAGAATTCTCAGGACCCAGCCCAGGCTCCTCGCTGTGTCTTCACAGAGGCTCTCATCAAGCGGCTCTGGAGGACACGGCATTCCCTGGGCACTCAGACAACACCACCCGCCCCGGCACTCGGGGCCCATGCCCGGCCGACCTCAGGTCATGGCCGCTGCTCCTGACACGGCCAAATCCACGATGAGGTTGCCTGGTCCAGGCCCTGAGGTTCTAACTATTTTTCATATTAAAAGAAATATCTAAAAGAGATGTTAAAAGACTATGTAAACCTTAAGAAGTCAGTTGTCCTGCTGTTGAAAAGCTAGAAAACAAAAGTGTTTAATAAATGTAGTTAAACTGGACGACAAATTTTTCATCAAACTATGTATCTTTTTGTGGGTGGGGTACCGGCTTTATTGCTCAGAATCTCAGAACTCTGGTTTCAGCTCTGGTCCCAAATTCCTATTTGGCTCTGGACCAGCCACTTGATCCCTTTACGTCTCAGGAATAAAAGGACAATATTACTCTTCAGAGATGGAAGATGGCACAGGCTTGTCCTGAAACAGTGTTGATCCCTCAAAACAGCGATGACAGGACCACGCCGATCGTCACTGGCTCGAGCTCTCGGTGTCTGGTCTGCGCTTCCACCTCACGAGTGCCTGTCATCTCGCCTACTGGACTCAGAGCTCCTGAGGACAGTGCCACATTTGAAAACCTGGTGTGTGTCATGGTTGGTGCCACGCATGCTGTAGGTAGTCAGCAGACGTCTGTTGCTTGTGTTCACAGACTTATTTATGTGTATTTATGTGTTCTCACCAAAGGTCAGGAAGATGTCTGCTCTCTATTAACACCATGAATTGATATAAATTTAAAGTGTTTCCAACATACTTTCCTATCTGTTCTCCCCTTTTGTTTCCATATCGTTCCAATTAGGTGGCTGGGCAGACAGCACAGTGGGGCTATCATACGGAGGGGCCACCTGGCACTCGGAGAGGAAGGATGCAAGCTCACAGCTTCCTCGTGAGCTGGGCAGATCCTGGACAAAGTCCTGGGCCCGCTGAGTCCCGGTCTGGTCCTGCCTCACTGCCTTCCCTCGGTGCCCACCACTCACCCCTGCAGCGAGCAGCAAGGGCTCCCGGTTGTGACCGCACCCTTGCACCGCAGCTAGTGTCAGGAGCCACAGTGAGACGTTACCTCATGGTTAGCAAATCGGATGTCCCGGGAGAATATGGTGGCCATCCAGTCGCACCCTAGTTTGACATCAATGTTCTGGGCTAGTTTCTCCAGGGTGGGTAGGTGGCTGGCTTGGAAGTGGTAAGCCAGGGTCACATGCAGCTGCTTCTTGTGAGGTTCCACGTGTACTTCTGGAAAAGGAAGGAAACAGGCCGTTGTCAGAACACAGTAATCCTAGCAGTGGTGGAGACTATTGAAGAGCACAGAATTCTCCCTCCCCGAGAACAAAAGGGAGCCCCGCTGTCTTTCATAGCAGCAGGGTGGGGGTAACCAACCCGGAATCAACCCACAATTTGAGAGATAAAGAGCAGCACACCTGCAGGAGCTGTGGCTCGGCTCAGGGGCAGTCATTTTGGCTGGCCCCTCCCCACGAAAACTGCGATTATGACCGGCCCCACCACTCAGATGAGAAAATCGAGGCCTACGGGATGAGCTAATTTGTGTAGAAAGAAAGCAAATTTTGTAATGGTGAGGTTCTCAAAGCTATACTGCCTTTGTTTTGAAATCAAGTCTCTTAGCTTCTGAGTGGCTCTGATGGAGAAATGAAGGAAAAAGAGACTATTTTCAAAGTTTAAAACACGGTTTCTCAACAGCATTTGGGTCAAATAAGTCTTTATTGTGGGCGCACTGTGGGCGCTGTCCTGTGTGCATTGTAGGGCTTTTAGCTGAATCGGCGGCCCCTGCCCACTAGATGCCAGTAGCAGCACCCCCAAGTTGTGACAACCCAAAATGACTGCAGACATTGCCGAATGTCCCCTCGGGGAAAAAGTGCCCTGGTTGAGAATCACTGGTTTAGAGTGGACAGACTGTTATTCTAAGACACCCTAGAAAACAAAACAAGACCAACCTGCCTACCTCTGAGGGAATGGCTTTAATTTCTCTTTTGTATGTCTCTATGTGGGGGATGCATCTACTGTCCAAGCTAGACATAAGGATGGTGCAACTAGAGGGAATTTGGGGAATCTGAGAAATTAAAGGGCTTGCTCAAGTCACGCCGAGAGGGAAGCACAGGTGGATCTTTCGGTTTTGAGTGCCTCCTGTGTTGCACTGCACAGCATCCCTCGGTGCCGGCCCCTAGGCAAGGGCTTCACGTCTTTCCACTCTGTATCCTGTGCGCAGCACATGATGAAATGAATACATACACATGGATCTCCTTACGGGGGTAACACTAATCCTACCTGCTGAAGGAATCTGGGTGTGCCAAAAATTCTAGAATGCCACGCACGAGCGCAAGGGCAAAGCCACGATGGCCTGCTTTCAGGCTGCAAGGAGCCGGCCAGCCACAGGGCAGGCCGCGCAGTTCTCCCTGTCACCCGCAGGGGCCGCTCGAGGCAGAGGCAGAGAGGCCAGGCTCCTGGGAGGAGCAGGCTCTCCCCTCCCACCGGGAAGGCAGGCGGGGCCCAGTCAGCGCCTGGGGCTCAGACCTGCTGCACTCACTCGGGAAGGATCCGGGTTTTGTGGCTACAGCATTAGTTTTGGTTTGGGGGAGAGTTTTAGTGGTTTTGACAAGGCTGCTGTGGGATGAAAAGGAGCCATTTCCCTGAGAGAGACTGTTAGACACAGGAAATCAGTTTCCTCTTCCCTCTGCCCTTTCCTGAAACATTAAGGTCCTTGAAGTGACAGGCTCCACAGAAAGCAGACACCAGCCCGAGGAAGAAAGGGCGCCTGGGGAGGGGCGACGGAGGCCCCACTGGGGAGCAGAGAGGTCTGGACGGCTGGCGTCCCTGAGAGCCTCCCGGCCCCTCGGGGTGCTGGGCCCTCGTCCCTCTTCCTGGAGCCCCCAGCACTGTTTGGGGCTTCTCCAGTGAAGGATCCAGAGCACAAAGTCCCTAGTTGGGGATGAACAGCAGCAAGGAACAAAGGCAGGTGAGGTACAGGCCAAGGGTCAGGAGAGCAAGGGACAAAACAGGGGCTTTCCTGAGGCCCCTCCCGGCTCTGGTCCTCCACGCAGGGTGGCGCTGGCAGGCTCGGGTCCCCCCCTTTGCACCCATCACTCAGCCTGAGCTGTGCCTCCACCCTGGGCTCTGCTCAGGAGGCCTCTAGGCCACCCTTTGCCTGCTCCTGCTGGTGCCTGTGGCCTCCCCCAGGCCCCTCCTCAGTCTGAGATCGAGGGGACTGTGTGAGGGTCCCTCCCTGAGGGTGGAGCCACTCTGCCCACCAGGGCCTTTCTCTCCTCAGTCAGGAGTGGGCTCCCAGCCGTGCGTCCGGCTGGGAGAAACCACTTCTGACTGTGGCATTCCTAAGGGCCCTAAGAGCAAACCACAGCCAGCAGGTGTTTAGTGGGCACTGCTGCGTTTACCTCCTAATTCTGAAGGGGGCCACAATGCAGTAAGTTTACAGCTCAGTGGGGAACAGTTAACTTAACTTGGGTGTTAGGGAGTAGGCGCTGGACATGATCTCGGGAAAGTCAGCACAGTAGTTTAATATTTTTGAAGGGGAGCCACAGAGAGTGGGTGTGCTCCCGCCCCTCCCCCTCCGACTCCATCCCACCCTTCCCCAATCTCCGCTCCCCCCCCACCATCCTCGCACCGACCGCTGGCAGGCAGCTGGCTGGCTCACCGGTTTTCGATGCAGCCTCCGCAGCAAAGTCGGCGGCAAACTTCTTGAGGATCTCAGCGCTGTCCTCCTTCACGAAGAGGCCGATGAAGTTGGAGGAGGTGTAGAGCTCCAGGGGCAGGGGGGCCGAGAACTTACACTTCCAGCGACTGACGGTGGCCTGCAGGGCTTCCCCCAGGGCGTCCACCTTGCTGTCCTCACACTGGAAGGGGAGAGCACGCTTCGCTCAGACAGGGGAGGTGCATGTCTGCTGCTCGTCAACACTGGCATCCCCTGCCGGGTGCCATTACTAAGCCATCCCTGTCTGTGAGGGGCAGGACACTGCTCGCTCCCAGCTGTCTGGAGATGGACTGCCCAGCTGGTGGATTAAACTGGGGCATGGACAACATCTCACCCCTCTCCCTGCTCGATGCGACCCTCTGAGCCCAGCCAGAACCAGGAGATCTGGTCCAGCATAAGGGAAAGAATGGATGGGTGTACTTGGAGAAAATACAGTATCCGAGGATAAATTCCCATGTGTTTTCTACTGTTTTGCATCCTCTGTGCTTTTTCTATTCCTCTTAGATGATCGAAAGCTGACTGTACTTCCAGTCCTGTGACAGTGGGACGGGCGAAGCCCAGGGAGCAGTGACTCACCCTCCTCCCTCCCCAGAGCTCCAGGAGGAAGGCGCGGGATGTCTACAAGGGAAAGGTTTGGAGAAGGAGCCTGCGATGACTAAGAGGAAACGATAATCATTTTAATTTTCAGAGTGACTGGTAAGAGAGAAAGTGTTAGGAACATATTTTTATGGAGAGAGAGAACAAACAAAATGCCCTCTCACAGTGGCACCGCCCGCGTGCTTGAATACACCTGTATAAATCCTTTCCTCACCGCCGCTGGGCGTCCAGGAGCTGGGCACGGGGCCGGTGCCCGCCCGTCCCAGGAGGCCCGCGGGCACCCCGCCCAGACGGTGGTCACGCCCCAGTCGCCTTCCGGCCCCTAGACCACGGTTCTCGTCCCAAGCGCTCTAACTTCTCCCTCCCCTCGAGTGGAGAGGCCGACAACAGAGCCGGGAGGCCGGACAGCGCAGCCATTCCCGCCGCCCCAGGCCCGGGCCTCCTGGGCCTCCGCAGGATTAGAACCCGGAGCCGAGGGCGGTCGCCGCGGGCTCGCTCCTGGGCGGCCCACCCACGGCTCGGAGCCCTTGGCTACTTCTGCCAGTTCCCGGGTCTTCCCACCCACCGCGACTGTGGGTCCCAGAAGGCGGGGGGGCTCACCATGAAGAACTGGCAGAGGGTGATGTGCGGGAAGATGTTGTGCGCCTTGTTCCTGCCGCACACCTGCTTGGACTGCTGCCAGAAGTCGGAGAGCTTCTGCGCCAGCGGCCCCGTGGGGCGCAGGTAGAGCACGTACTCCCGGGGCAGCGGGTCGTCCAGGAAGGGGTCGCCCACGTGGGAGAACAGCCTGCGGGGAGGGCGCCCGCTCAGACGCAGCCCAGCGGTGCCCCAGGCTTCCACTTGGGGCTTAAGACCCGGCCCTCGGCCCCGGCCTTGGTAGCCACCCCCAGGCAGCGCCCTGCCAGTCCTGGAGCATCTGCAGCGCCGCCCTGAACCACCCAGGTCGCTCCCCAGGAGGCACCCTCGGGTAAACCCGAGTCCTTTCCTAACCCCAGGGCAGCTGCAGGGGCCCCTCCGGGTCAGTCTGTGGCTAAACCCCTGCGCCCCGGAAAGACGAGGGCAGCTGGGAGCTGCCCTGGGACTGACGCCCTCAAAGGTCAGGAGGCTTTTCTGGATTGATCTGCCCGGCGTCCACGTGCTTACATTGCAACCAAGCGGCTGGGGGAGGCGGCCCCTGGATGGGGAGCGACTCCAGGCAACGCTGGGGCGTCTGTGCCCATTGTTAGGGAGAAGCACAGCCTGGGGCCAGGGCTAGGAGGCAACTGGTTTGATGATGTTCTAGCCACATGGTGCTTCCACTCATCTCTGCCCCCTCTCTCTAAGGACCCCCCAGGGCCCATTAAAGAGGCTGCACACCCCTGCTCATCCACCCCTACTTAGAGTTGATTCCATGTCATTTTCTCAATGTATTCATCTTATACCAACCAGTCACAGGCTGCCTGCACACTCCTTCCTCCGGTGGACGCCAAGGCCTTTTGTCTGGAAGAAATCAAATTTCCATTGTTAGTATTTTTAGCCTCCTGTCAGCTTCTCTTATTGTATCGGGAGAGCTGAGTGTGACATGAGCAACACCAAGGCCTCCTTGGCGGCAGGGCAGACCTGCAGCAGGACCCCCCCGGGGCCATGGGGAGGTATGCGGGCACGTGAGGGATTTCACGGTTAGCACTGGGTCCGCACGCAGCCCGACAGCCATGCAGTTATTTTCCACAGGTTCCACATTAGAGCTTTATTTCTGCTTCCCTAAAGGTTGTCATGTCTTGTTTTTTCCTACTTCATTTTCATGCACTGCTCTCTTAGTGACCCAGATCCCTTACGGAGTGTTGTTTCTTTATTGGCAGCCCCTTGGCGGGTTGCTAGAAAGTAGGGCTAAATGCCCACAGGGACATTTGGTTTGGCTCAATTCTGTGCCTCCTCCCACCCACCTCCAACCACCACCACCAGCCTCAGGCTGGACCCGTGACCTCCAACTATTTCACAGACACCTTCGAGGCTGAGTGGCCAGAGCCTGCTGCTCACTGCGGGAGAAGCCTGACGGGACAGAGCCACCTGTGTGTAGGCACACAGTAGAGCACTGTTGAAGCTTCAGCCTGGGCTCCAGGAGCCAGAGTTCTGGGTCTGTACCCAGCTCTGCTGCTCACCATCCATTCACTCAAGAAATACTCTCCATGAGGGTAGAGATCATCTGTGACCCAAGTTCTTCATTCTACACAGGGAAATTGGGGGAAGGAAGGAACGTGCTGAGGGCATCCTGGCGCAGGTGATGGCTGAGCAGAGGCCAGACTATTCTCTGTTCCACAGCCCAAAGGTAAGTGAAATGCCTTCTTTTCTGACATGAAAATCTTAGCATAAATACCAAACAACCAGGGCAAAGGAATTTGCACAGCTAAGTAGAAGAATATTATATTAGACAAGCTTACTTTCAGGAAGATGGAGTTAAGAGGAAGCAAGATAGACGCTCGAACCTCTCAGAACAGAATTTCTTGGGACAGATACTGCTGAGGACAATACTGGAGAACAAGTACCCCCCCCTTCCCACACCTGGATAAGGTGCTTACTGCACCCCTGCTTCCTTTCCTGTTCACTAGGCAATCAGAGACCACACATCTTGCCCTTTCTTTGGATCCAGAAGACATGTACACACAGAAGAATGCAAATCATAGTCTTTTAGAAGTTAGAATCTACTAGGGATTAAATTAATCAAAAAAGACCTATTGTTTCAAAAACAACTGGAAAAAAAAAACTCATTTGTGGTACAATGTGCTATTTATATAGATGATCCAATTTCTTTTTTGTATGCCATTCCCCCAGTGAAATATACCCTACTGAAATTTATTTTTCTTTAAGCACTAGGAGTATCCTCTGGAAATGAAAGGTCTAATTAAGTCCTGGTCTCTGTAACTCATAAGACAACTTTTGGAGAGGGTTCAAAACTACAACTGAGAAAGATAATGAAGGGTTTGGATGATAAGGCTATGATAAAAGTTTATGGAAGTCCAAATTTTTCTTTCTAAAGAAGACAAGTCTGAGAGGTCTTCAGTTTTCTGGGAGTAACACCTATCTTCTGAAACTATTCCAAAAAATTCAAGAGGAGCGAAGCCTCCCAGGCTCATTTTATGAGGCCAGCACTATTCTTACAGAACATGACCAAAGACATTACAAAAGTAGAAAATTATAGGCCAATATCCCTGAAGAACAGAGATGCAAAAATCCTCAACAAAATACTAGCAAACCATATTTATCAATATATTAAATAGATCACTCATCATGATCAAGTGGGATTTATTCTTGGGATGCAAGGTTGGCACAATATCCACAAATCAATTAGCATGATGCATCACATACACAAAACGAAGGACAAAAATCACGTGAGCACATCAATAGGTGCCAAAACAACATTTAATGAAATTCAGCTCCTGTGTTTGATAAAAACTCTCAGCAAAGTGGGAATAGAAGGAACATACCTCCACATAACAAAGGCCATGCATGACAAGCCCACAGCCAACATCATACTCAACAGGGAAACACTAAAAGCGTTTTCCTCAAGATCAGGAACAAGACAGGGATGTCCACTTTCACCACTCGTACTAAACTTAGTACTGGAAGTCTAGCCACAGCAGTCAGATAAGAAACAGAAATAAAAAGCATCTAAATTGGAAAGGAAGAAGTAAAACTGTCATTATTTGCAGATGACATGATACTGTCATTAGAGAACCCTAAAGACTACACCTAAAAACTACTAGAACTGATAGATGAATTTATTAATTAGCAGGATACAAATAAATATTCAGAAATCAGTTGCATTTTATATACCAGAAAGAGAAACTAAGCAAATAATCCCATTTTCAGTTGTCTCTAAAAAACAAACAAAAAACCCTCCTAGAAATAAATTTAACCAAGGAGGTAAAAGACCTATACTAAGAAAATTATAAGACACTGAAGAGAGAAACTGAAGAAGATATAAACAAGTGGAAGCATATACCATGTTCAGGGTAGGAAGAATTAACATCATTAAAATGTCCATACTATCCAAAGCAATCTACAGATTCAATGCAATTTCTATCAAAATACAAATGGTATTTTGTTTTTTACAGAAATAGAACAAAAAATCCAAAAATTTATATGGAACCACAAAAGACACTAAATAGTCACAGCGATCTCGAGAAAGATCAACAAAGTTGGAAGAATCACACTATGTGATATCAAACAGTAACTACAAGTCTACAGTAATCAACACAGTGTGGTACTGGCATAAAAGCAGACACACAGATCAGTGGAACAGAATAGAGAGCCCAGAAATAAGTCCGTACCTACATGGTCAATTAACATATGTAAAAAAAGACAAGAATATACAATGGGGTAAAGACAGTCTATTCAGTAAACGATATTGGGAAAATTGCACAGATACATACAAAAAATGAAACTAGACCATGTTCTTTCTCTATATACAGGAATAAACTCAATATGGATTAAAGACTTAAATGTAGGACGCGAAACCATAAAACTCCTAGAAGAAAACATAGGCAGTAAACTCTGACATTTTTCTGATATATCTCCTTGAGCAAGGGAAACAAACAAAACAAAACAAAAGGTGAAGAAATGGGACTACATCAAACTAAAACGTTTTTGCACAGCAAAGGAAACCATCAACAAAATGGAAAGACAACCTAGTGAACGGAAGAAGATATTTGCCAGTGATACATCAGATAAGGAATCAATAACCAAAATTCATATAGAACTCATATAACAAACACCAAAAAAGCTATCCAATTAAAAAGTGGGCAAAGGACTTGAATACACACTTCTCCAAAGAGGACACACAGATGGCCAAGAGACATATGAAAAGATGCTCAACTGTCACTAATCATCAGAGAAATGCAAATTAAAACCACATTGACATATCACCTCACACCTGTCAGAGCTACCATCAATAAATCCACACACAACACATGTTGGCAAGGATGTGCAGAAAAAGGAACTCTTGTGCACTGTTGGTTGGAAGGCAGATTGGTGGAGCTACTGGGGAAAACAGTACGGAGGTTCCTCAAAACATTAAAAATGGAAGTGACTTATGACTGGGTATAATGTCCAAAGAAACACAAAACATTAATTGGAAAAAATATGCACCCAGTGCCCATTGCAACATTATTTACAGCAGCCAAGATATAGAAGCAACTCGAGTGCACACCCACAGACGAGTGGGTAAGGAAGTTTTGGTTCCTATACACAATGGGATGGTACTTGGTCATAAAGAAGAATGAAATCTTGCCATTTGTGACAACATGGATGGACCTAGAGGGTATTGTGCTGAGTGAAATAAGTCAGCGAGAGAAAGACAAATACCACATGATCTCACTATATGCGGAATCTAAAGAACAAAATAACCAAATGAAACAGAAACAAACTCACAGATACAGAGAACAAACTGGTGGCTGCCAGAGGGGGGGAGTTGGGGACTGGGTGGGAAAGAGAAGGGATTAAGAAGTACAAGTTGGTATTTACAAAATAGTCACGGGGATGTAAATGTCAACATAGGGGCTATAGTCAATAATATTGTGATAATTACATATGGTGACGGGTGGGTACTTGAATTACTGGGGAGATCACTTTATAAATTATATAATTGCCTATCCACTCTGCTGAACACCTGAAACTAGTGTAACATAATATTGAATGTCAACTGCAATTAAAAAATTAAATTTAAAAATATTTTATGGAAGGTTATTGTTCTGATGTACCTTCTCTAGCAAAGGTTAGCCAAGATAAAATAAGCTTTATCAATAAATACCACAAAGGGCTCACGTCAGCTATCAGAAGGAACTTCCTGGCAGTATGTGTTATAAAGCTGTTTGTTTTTGTTTTAGTTTCTGGTAAGTAGTTAGCAGTCTGAAACGGAGGCATGTGATTCTGTAAGCAGGGGATCCCAGGAGGTGTAAAATCCCACTTCTTAACAGGCCACAGGCAGGGCTCTGCTGCCCCTTCGCCCAGTCTCGGGCCCAGGACTAATGGGCTCATTTTGTTCCCAGAGCTCTGCCCGCAGAGCAGACTGAACATGGGCAACGGCAGACACGTCTCCTGTGTCCACCTCACTGAAGAAAGACTGTTGCAGTGGAGCTCCCACCTCCACAGTCCATCCCCATGGGTCCAATGCCAAGGGGGGATGTGCAAGGTGAACCCCCAATCAGGCTGAGCCTGAGTGGCTGCTACCTTTAGAGTGACTCAGAGTTGGCAGAGACAGCTGAGACCTTGAGCAGGTAAAAGAGGAGCAGCCTGTTGAGCCCAAGGTGAGCAGTCCAGCCACCGAATGACAGCAGCTAATTACTTAGACGGAGCCTCTGTGGTTAGAGTCAACGAGACATCTGTGAACTGCTGACGTTCTGTCAGGCGACAACGTAAACTGGACTTCTGATCCTGGTCCTGCCTCACCTTCCCAATTATGTGTAGGGTTAATTCTTAGCAGAATGTGAAAGAAAAAAAAAAAG